GACCTGAATTCAATTGAAAATCTATAGAAAGAACTAAAGGTCAGAGTTCAGAAGGGGCTCATGGAACCTTCGGGATATGAAGACTGTTTGTGTGGAACAATGGGCCAAAATCACACCTAAGCACAGCATGCGACTAGTTTCTCCATACAGGAGGCATCTAGAAGCTGTCATCACCAACAAAGACTTTTGTGCAAAGTGTTGAATAAATTTCAGTAAGCGTGTTCAATACTTTTTCCCTGTGTCATTTCTCAGTTTTATACACAGTTTATGTATATCTGTGGTTTCATTTCTTTGCATGTGTGGATGTGATCGGTTGTTACTGACATCTGGTGAGAATTTCACATCAATAACACCTTTAGAAATATGTTTACTTAGAAAAGTGGTGACGTGTTCAAAACATATTTTAACCGCTGTACTTTTTTTGATTGTTTGAATTAGCTACTCTGCCTTGTTCGCTTGTTATCCTGTAAAAATAGGGTGCTGTCTTGAGCAATAGTGCTTCAGACTTTCTGAAGGTGTCCCTGGACTTTCAGTGGCTCCAAAGCCTCATTAGAAATTGTCTCAGTGTAAGGAAGCTATAAAGAAGTCATTCTTAAGATAGGAAAGCAAGGAGAAAAGACTGCTATGTACTAAATTACACAAATATTAGAAGGTGAAGGTATATTGCAACAAAACTGTGACAGACAACAGAAAAAAAACAACACAAAAAATGTTTTTTAGGTCATTATTGAAACCTGGAGAGCTAATCCTGAAGACTACTTAAAGAATTGGCTACTCTAACATGTCAAAGAAACTCTGTTTTTGTTGTTTGTGCTGTATTTCCATATATCTTTGCCCAGGTCTCCATAAATCACTGCATCTATTTCCCATTTTCCTAGAAAACCATGACAACAGCACATGACTGCACATGACTTTGCTTGTGTAACATTTAAGTAACTCCTGTAAGACTGAAAATGAATTAATACTTGGGACATAATATAGCATTCCTGTTTATTTCATAGCTTTTGTTGCATAGTTAGAGTGTGTGTTGCACTGCTGCATATAGTATTTTCAAAAAGTTATCCATCTCCCACTTTTGCTACTTTAATTGTACATTTTTTTCTTGAAAATTAATCAATGAATGAATCTTTGGAATTCTAGGTGTCATGGCTACTGAACGGGCCCACGCGCAGACAGTTCTTGTCAAGGAAACAAAAGGGGATTTATTTACAACAGGGATCACCTTAGTGCAAAATATATGTACAGTGAGTTGGGAGGGGGTCCGGGGCTCCAGGGAGAGAAGGGGGGGGGGATCTCCACACACACGCTTCCTTTTCCACTCAGTCACCGCCACCGCTCCTCCGCACACACGCACTCCTCTTCAGCCGCACTCGCTCCAACACTCCACACACTGCCCCACTTGGACAGGTCCGGTGATTCGGTCCAGAATCTACAGACAAGAAGTTCACGGTTAGTTCCACAACAGGAAAAACAGACAAAACTTCTTTGAATAAGCCGCGAGCACGAACTCAGGTAGTTCAACGTTCCAGCGGTGAGCTGCTCTGTGCCACTGCCTTAAATAGCAGCTGGGGAAATCAGCCCGATCAGCCGCAGGTGGATACCATCCACAGGGGTGCGTGGGCCAAGAGTGAGAGCCCGTAATGAGCTCCACCCAGGCAGAGAGGAGGAGGAGAGACAAAAAACTAAAACTAACAACAACAAAACCTGTAGCCAGCGTGGGCCAACCAGAGAGACACGGGGACCGTGACACTAGGCAATCGTTTGCAGTACTAATACGATGGATATTTGAGTCATGTGAAAAATAATTTCTCACAGGCTTCTATGCAGTCCTGTGAAAAAATACCTACAACCCATGATTCAGTACTTGTAAAACCACATTTAGCAGCAATAACTTGAAGTAATCACTTTCTGTATGACTTTATCGGTTTCTTGCATTGCTGTGGAGGAATTTTGGCCTACTCGTCTTTACAATGTTGCTTCATTGTAAAAGTCGCCTTGAGGCGCCTTGACTTGTGATTTGGCGCTATATAAATAAAATTGAATTAAATTGAAATTGAATTCAGTGCATTGAGGTTTGTGGGCATTTGTTTTTGCACAGCCTTCTCAAAGTGCCACTACAATATTTTTATCTGGCTGAGGTCTGGACTTTGATTGTGTCATTGTAACACTTTGAGTCTTTTCTTTTTCATTTATTCTGTTGGAGATTTGCTGCTGTTCTTATATTTATTGTCCTGTTGCATGATCCAGTTTCAGCCAAGCTTCAGCTGTCGGACAATTGGCTTCTCAATTGACTCGAGAATACTTTGGTATACAGATGAGTTCTTAGTCAACTTAATGACTGCAAGGTGGCCAAGTCTTGTGGCTGCAAAACAAGCCCAATCACTATCAGCAGTTTCACCATGTCTTCTGTGTGAAACAGGAAAGATAGTAATGCGAGGAAAATAATATCTTACTGTTCACATAAGATAAAGCAGGGATTAAACGCTTTTATTAGAAGTAGAACAAAAACAAGAGAACAGTTAAAACTAAATAAAGAAAAAACAACTACAACTATTTATTCTATGAAGGATTCCACTGGGAACATTACTCATGATCCACAACAAATAAATAAATCTTTTAGTCTTTTATGAAGCTTTATACTCCACACAGATGAATCCTTCCAGCGCTGACATTGCAGAAGATAAATCTACCGAAACTACATGACAGATTGTGGATCTGGATTCACCTCTTTCAATGTCCAAAATTCCCAAAAGCCCCACAGCATCTCCCAAACAACAAAGCCCCAGGTCCACATGGTTTTCCAGCAGAGTTTTACAAAGATTCTGGCCTACACTAACACCTATTTTTTTTCAGTCATCACCAAACCCTCACTCCGCCACTTGATAGTTGGTGCGAGGTATTTGTGCTGATATGATTTGTTTGTTTTTTGCCATATCTGAGTATCATGGCCTAACATCTCCACTTTGAATTTGTGAGACCTTCTCATGGCAACACTTCTAAACAAGCTGTACTTGTTCATTCTTTTTCTATTTGTACTGTCATGAACTTTAACATTTGTTCATGCTAACTAGGCAGAGTCTGAGATGTAGTTGATGGACTGTTGCAGTTTCTCTGAGCATTGCACTTTGGCAAGAATGTGGCATTCTTTTAACACACACCTGAATGCTCCAGACCAGGAAACTGCCAAAATATCTGCTTTTATAGAAGTGCTCACACTTGCTGATGATCATTTAATCAACCGCATTTGACTAGCAGCAACTAGCTAATACTTGCCCTCTTAATTCCTATGGAAACAGTAAGAGTTTACTTAAGTTTTATATGTCTGCAAAAACTTTTTTAACATGACTGCATATTATTCTACCGTAGTGCATTGTTGGCAATAAAGACAAGTCATGTGGTTTAGTGGTTTACAACCTGCAAGTTTTCATTCCAATCAAATAAGACAGGAAGTGACAGCTTATCTCTCCCTCAGTACTCTAAAACAAGGAATCAGCAAATGTGTTGTGCAATCTTGTTTAGCAGGCTTACACAAGATAACATAAAACAATCAGCTGTTCAGCATAAATGAGAAAGAAATGTTGAACATTAAAATAAGACAAGGTTGTGAAAAGTATTTGCTCCCTTCTTATTTATTTATTTATTTGCCTTTTTGTCACTCTTGTATTTTGCAGATCATCAAACAAATTTTAATATTAGACAAAGATAACCCGAGTAAATACAAAATGCAGTTTTTAAATGATGATTTTATTTATTAAGGGGAAAGATTAAACAAACCTGGTCCTATGTGATAAAGTCGTGGGCCTTTGTTTTACCACCCTCGGTAGCAAGAACACCAGAGGAAAAAAGTAATAAACATCCATCAGTCTGCAAAGGATCACAAAGACATTTCTAAGGCTTTGGGACTCTGGTGAACCACAGTGATACTAGGACTCATTACATCTGGTGTAAAGCTACAACAGCATTTAATAAAAAGAATATCAGTCAAAGCAGTCAAACATGGTGGTGGTAGCATGGCAGTCTGGGGTGATTTGCTGCTTCAGGACCTGGACGATTTGCTGTAACTGATGCAATGAATTCTGCTCACTACCAGTAAATCCTGAGGGAGAATGTCCAGCCATCAGATCATGCTCTGAAGTGCAGCTGGGTGTTGCAGCAGGACAAGCATAAAACACACCAACAAGTTCAGCTCTGAATGGCTCAAAAAGGACAAAAGATTTTGGAGTGGCCTAGTCAAAGTCTCGACTTAAAACCATTTGAGATGCTTTGGCATGGCTTTAAACGGGTCGTTTAAGCTCACAAACCCTCCAATGTGGGTGAATAAAAACATTTCTGCAAAGAAGAGTGGACAGATTGGACTCCAATCCAATGCTTTTGTGAAAGACTCACAAAAGTATTGAATTGCAGTTCTTGCTACCAAGGGTGGCAAAACCAGTTATTAGGTTTAGGGGGTGAGTGCAGGGTAAGGTAGGTGTGTTTATTTTTTCTGGTAATAAATGAAATGATTATTTAAAACTTGCATTTTGTGTCTACTCGAGGTTATCTGTAATATTAAAATAATAGAAGAAATCAGAAAAAAGCTAAATATTTTTACAGCACTATATGTGTACATGTCTGATAAAATGCTGTACGTATTTATAATTATAATGTCTTTATTTCTGGATTCCTCTGTAGAATCATAACTAAAGTTGTGGGAAAAAAATACATTTATATTTCTCAATAGTGGTTGGGTCCAGTGCCTCTCATCCTTTAACTCCTGCCGTTTGTAAAGTTTGCAGCATCATTTAAATGCAATCACTGGCACTCTTTGTCTGTTAAGATAAAACAGAAAGGGTTTAGTAGAAAATAAAGGGATTAAGAATGCGTTTTAATCAACAACGACATTGTTTCATTCAATGCGTTGAATGGAAACGAGAGTAAACAACACACTTTCGGTGACGCCTCCGGCAGGTCACGTTGCATGGCCGTGTCCCGTGACGCTGCCAGGGGGCGGGTTATCACCAACAGAGTCGGTCTGTGGAGCTAACCTCACAGAGAGGATCGGAGCCCGAGTGTTGTTTTGAATTTGCTGGAAGACACCGATTTGGAGAGGGGTAGTGCCTGTGAATAAGATGGCGGATGTAGGAGGCGATGAAACTCGGCCCGTTCTCCCTTCGGCATCCCGTAACGGTCCGGTTGTCGGTTCGTCGGCTGGCACCGCGGGCCACGGCGCAGCAATGGTCACATCGGGACCGCGGATGGTCAGGATCGTCAAGTCGGAGTCCGGCTACGGGTTTAATGTCCGCGGTCAAGTGAGCGAAGGAGGACAGCTTCGGAGCATCAACGGGGAGCTGTACGCCCCTCTTCAGCATGTCAGCGCTGTTTTACCCGGAGGTGCTGCGGACCGAGCCGGGATAGTGAAGGGTGACAGGATCCTGGAGGTGTAAGTCAGCTTCTGTCCCTTCCAGTTAGGACGCGGAGTTAGCAATTGGAGCTAGCTACCCAGTTTAGCCTGTGTGGATCCAGTTTCAAGCATGTGTTATTCCGTCTTCGACGTTTGCTTCTTGTTGCCATTAAAGTAACTCACTAGTTTATTAATTATTCAGCTTTGGAGCGTTTTGACCTGAGTAAATATTTAAGGCTGTAGGTCCGGTGAGATAACTAGAAAGCTAACCAGCTTACATAAGTTGGACAACAGCCTGTGCATGTTGATTAGCTGTAGCTCGCTAGCGAGCCAGGTAGCTAATGTGTTTGGCTAGCTCCTTGCTCAGTGTCAGCTCCAGCGGGAGATGTAGGACGACATTTAGACGACAGTCCACTTTCCACTGCGTTGTCATATGCATAATAGTGTTGATATGTGTTCTTAGCCTGTGAAATGACCGAGGATGGCAGTGTTGTCACTCAAATTCAGCATCATATGACAGGAGTGTGTGGTCTTACTTGCTTTCACTAGCTAGCATTCGCACCAGCCGTGCTGTTTACATGGGAAGTTTGAGGTGCTTTCTATTGATTTTTAGGGTTTGCTTTTGTTCTATCGCTATATGTAACCGTGAGTGGGTTTGATATACGTGAAGAGATCATTTTAGAAGTGCTTTTATGTTATCTATCGTGCCAGCATTCGTCAAGTCTGCTTTCAAGTCTCTTTCCATTTATCAGCGTTCGGTGAAACACTGCTTCCCTTTGAGTCATAGCTGGCATTTAAATGTAACAGGAAATGTGTCCATACACAGAACCTGTAATAATGTCAGCCAAGTGAACAAATCTACAAGCAGGAATGTAAAGCCCTGGCCTTCAGTAAAACCTGAAGTGTTAATGGTAATAGAGCAGTTCTTACAAACTTTTTTGCTTACGTTTAAAATCAGTGTTTAGTTAGTGTGAGTAGTGTTGATGTCACTTGACAGTGGAGCAATAAAGCTGACTTAGAAAAAGGAAGAACAGAAACGGTAAAGAAGGAACACTGCTCTCACTTCCATATGCTGAGGCATCAGCATGTTGTTTTCCGTTGGTTTTTTTTGCTTTTTTTTACTCATTAGTTCTTTCTGCTGTCATATGGTAGCGGCAATACTTATCATGTGACCTGTTAACCCGTTTGACCATTTTGCAAAAAAAAAAAAAAGCCTCATAACTGGACTTCAGCCGGTTAAATATGTTAGTTGTCAGCATTTTACTTAGCAAACAAAGAAAGCCAGCAATGTACTTTATTTACAGTAAGCAGCTCAGGTGGTGTTTCTTGTCTGAGTGTATCACTACTGCCTGAGTGAGCATAGTTGGTTTTTTTTCATGATTTCCTTAAAAGACAAGAAAAAGGGGAAACAAATAAAAATGACCTTGCTTCGCCCTTGTGTGTGTTTTTAGAAGATAATGCTGTGTTCAGTAAAGTTCAACTTGTAAAACATTATATAACCAGGAAGTGAAACTAGTGATCGACAACCTCTTTTGCGAGAGCATCCTGGGCCCACATAAGCACCGTTAACCTGGTACGGTTTTCTGAGGTGGGAGAAACCAGAGCAGCTGGGGAAAAACCCACAGAATCATGGGCAGAACATGAAAACTCCCCACGGGTTTGAACCCATGACTCTGTACTCAGAGTGTAAACCACTGTGCCTCCCAGCTGCCAAATTAGGGGATCAGTTGACTGTTAATCAGTGAGCTTTTATCAGTTTTCACCAGCGACTTTATTTTACAGTAAAGAGTAACAAGTGGAATGGCTGATAAAAAATATAATTAATAACAGTAAAAGCCTGCAAGACACACATATCTGCTCGCATATAATTATTTTATATTATTATTTCTTTATTATTGTTAGTATTATTTTAAGCTCTGAGTAATATTTCATCAAACAGTTTCACTAAGCAATTAAAAGTATTAATACTGTTTTATTTCTGCCTTAGCCAAATTTACATTGTAGTCATGACGACGGTTTCACCCTTTTGGTTCTGTCCCACCCTTAATTTGGCTTTTCACTCAAACAACTCAGATTAGCTCCCCCCATCACCCCACTCCAAATCTTCTTCTGTTAACTATTATGTCCACCCCTTCTTTTTCTGTATGTTTAACTTCCTATTTTAAGTCAGTGACACTACACAGATAAATGCTACGTCTAACATGGCAATCAATGGGCAGGCCTACGCCTACACTTTTCCTCGCCCCCTCCTTTTCAGTGTCTGTCCCACAGTTTCTCATTGGAAGATTAGCAAAGACACCTGATGCTTGTGCCATCTGCTCTCAGCGAAGTCAAAAAGGCACCAGGAGAAAAAGGACATGGGAGCCAACCTAATTGCTTAAACCTCACAGCCTTGTGTTAGTAAATGGGGAACAATGGGCTAATATTACCAGACAGTATGTTAGGACAGTGTGTACATTAGCAGCTAAAAGAGTACCAGTTTTATTCGAATGATGTATAGATTATACTGTGTTACTGTAATCCCAGCTGCATTGATCTGTAGCAGTAGTGACTGCATTAAGTGCATCAGTTATCAGCTGCGACATAACCAGCCCGCACCAAGTGCAGTTTATCTATCAGTGTGGTCGTTTCTCACATTCCAAATCCCTTCGGTCAAAGCTTTTTTTAAAGTTTGTTTTGTACCAGTCTAGCTTTAAATTTAACTGCTTATAATAGTGACAGATCCTTTTTTTTTTCTTTTGGAAGATGCATTGATTTAATGTATAGAATTGGAATCTGGAGAGAGTTTAATATCTCTCCAGAGGTATTTTTAAATGCTTTGAATTGTATCCGTCATTCCCTTTTTTGTAGAGAGTTGAATGAACTTCCAATTCAAATATAGTCTGAATGTGTGAGAACAAGTCAGAGCTGCTTGTTCCTCCCCTTTGCCTCATGTTTCTCCTGCCCTCTTTCTCTCTTTTTTCTAGTAATGGCGTGAACGTGGAAGGTGCAACTCATAAGCAGGTGGTGGACCTGATCCGTGCTGGGGAGAAGGAGCTGGTTCTGGCTGTGCTGTCTGTTCCACCTCAGGAGGCTGACGGTTTGGAAGGAGGAGAGGAAGTCCAGCCCAACTACGACTACAGTGACAAGCAGGCCGTGCCCATTTCTATTCCCACATACAAGCACGTAGAACAGCACTCCGAGAGGTTTGTGGTAAGTGCTGATTTGACAGTTGACATGTTTCCGCCTGGGACTGGGCTTCTCTGGAAGGGTGGAGAGGGCAGCCATGAGTGTGTGTGTTTGCCTGATTTTTAAAATACTTTTGGACCTGTCCGTCTTCAGTTTTAAGTGGAATAACATGTTTGAGCTTAAGCGTTCGATCTAAAGACAGTTCTTAAAGATCTTTCAACCCATCTCACCTCAGGAGGTGGTCCGTCCTCCCGAGGCAGCTGTAGAGGCAACACTGTTACCTTAAATTCTTTCTTGAAAAAAACAAAACAGAAGAAACGGCTTCCTGTGGTTGCTCTAAACATGTTTTTTAATGCTGTGGTAGAAAGAAAACTTTTAACCCTCTGATGCAATCATTTCCTTCTCTCGGTCTTCTCTAAAGTTGCTTCATGTTTTTTTTTTTTTTTAATGCATCTAGGTATACAATGTGTATATGTCAGGGAGGCAGCTGTGTTCAAAACGCTATCGTGAGTTTGCCATCCTGCACCAGAACCTGAAAAGGGAATTCTCCAACTTCAACTTCCCAAAGATTCCTGGTAAATGGCCCTTCTCCCTATCGGAACAGCAGCTGGATGCACGACGTAGAGGCTTGGAGGAATATCTCGAGCGAGGTAAGATGATTTGGACAGATCACTAGCTCTTCTGTCCCAGAAGAATTAAATGTATTTAAATATTGAATATGTAGTTAGGATGGAAAATACACCATGCACCCACTGTTATTAGTTTTCTAAATTACACAGTAAATCTAAACACTCATAGTGTTATTTAGCTGCCCTTTGTTTATTTCATTTACCTTGATTTAATATATTGCTCGCCATTTTTCTTTTCCCTTCCTATTCGTCTCTAGTGTGCTCTGTGCGGGTGATTGGGGAGAGTGACATCATGCAGGAGTTTCTCTCAGAATCAGATGAGGTATGCATCTCGTGCATTATTGTTGTAGCAAGGCGACTTTTTATTCTGGGTGTTGAAATATTGTGGGTTGAACTTTCTTTTCCTACCAAACTGTTAGGACTTGTGACTTTCTGAATTGGCACAGTGCTCAACAGTCCATTTTTTGTTTATTATATTATATTATATTATCAGATATGTACTATCTTAGTTAGATTTAATTTCCGAAGATGTTATTGTTTGTATTCCATAATTATAGGAATTCAAACTCAAAAATGGAAGGGGGGGGTTTCAGCATTGGATCTGACTCCAAGTCTCTTAAGCTGTATTTAAACTGTTCTGGCCCATTTTGAGAATCATTTAGTATCATTTAGCTTTCACTGGTTAAAGGGAGCTTAGTTGAGAGCTGTGCCAGTGACGCAGGCTGGAAATTGGTTACCTTGCTGGTGTTTTAAGGAAGTGCAGCAGCAAAACAAATACCAATGCACTGATGTAATCCCACATTTAAAGAAGCGCAATTTGGGGGATTAAGACTTCTTGCAGATTGTAAGTCTTGTTTGGCTATGGCTTGTTGGTTTTTTGTTTGTGTTTTTTAATCCACAAGTACTTAGTGGTAACTTAGAACAAACAAAGGCTTGCATATTCAAACAAGCACGTACAAAGCCTCATTAATCCACTGGGGTAAACACAGCTCTACAGCTGTTCTCATTCTGTTTGGCTTCACTGTACAGAACTACAACGGCGTGTCAGATGTAGAACTGCGGATAGCCCTACCAGACAAGACCACCATCTCCGTCAGAGTCCGTAAGAACAGTACCACAGACCAGGTGTATCAGGTAAGACCACTCCCAGTTGTACAGCTATATTGTACAATATTTTCCATCAGTGTTTTTTTTCCCACAACTAACTGATGTTGTGTTGATCTTCTGTAGGCATTAGTGATGAAGGTTGGGATGGACAGTATTATGGCGAGCTACTTTGCTCTGTTTGAAGTTATCAACAACTCCTTTGGTAAGAGCTGCACGTGTGTTTGTTGCACTTCACACGGAAAGATGTCTGACCTTTTTTTCACATTCTCTCCTGTTTAATTTGCACATCCTGTTTCGGGGGTTTATGACATGACCACTAAAAATAAATAAAACCCTCTGAATTTAAATCACTGGGCCTCTGGGTATATGAGTAATCATGGGCAGCAAGGGCAGGTATTTTGGTATAGGTTACTAGTATGTTGGGGGTTTTTTTTAAGTAACAATCCCTGTTCATCACCCTTCTCCTTCTACTCGGTTTTTGTTGCAGTGCGGAAGCTGGCGCCTAACGAGTTTCCCCACAAGCTATATGTGCAGAACTACACGTCGGCCGTCCCGGGGACCTGCTTAGCACTCCGCAAATGGTTGTTCAGCTTCCAGGAGGAGGAGTTGCTCAGAGACAATCCGCTGGCACTGCACTACTGCTTTCACCAGGTAATAACAGTAATTGGATTCCTCTTGCCGTGGATTTCGGGGAGCTGAACACAGTGATTTGATTCAGAGTTTATTCTTCTGAGCTGAAAATGCTTAAACATATTGAGGGAAAGTTGGTCAATTACACTGCTGATTTACACTAAACTGATCATACTGGTCTCAGTGGCTCCGTAGTGTAGTGGTTTACACATTGGCCTAACGAGCAAAAGATCCCTGGATCAGTCCTGACATGCAGGGAATGTTCAGGGCCAGACTTGAGCCTGGATCCCTGCTGCAGCCTTTAGCATAAAGGTCACTTGCTCAACCAGGTGAGCTACTGTGGCACCTGCTAGCTGCTTTCTCACTTTGTGATGACTGAATTATTTCTAGCTTAGGAGTATTTTCTGTTATAATTCTGGACACAGACTATAACAGAAGCCTTTACCTATAATGTCACCCTAATAAAAGAGCGCTTGGAGATATCATACTTCTTCCGAGGCTGAAAAATTCCCTTCACAAGATGGGTGAATAGAGTCTCTGTCTTTTTTCCTTTTCCCGAGGACATCAAGATGATCCCCAGGTTCTTCTTCTTTCAGCTAAATATGCGTTTATGTAGATACGATGTGAAATGTCCATTTTTGCCTTGTCTTACAATGTTATTAAAATGTCTGGATCCAGATCTGGGTCGACACCCAAAGTTAATAATTTCTCAGCTGGTCAAAGCCCCACCTCGGGTCAGTTTTCATGCAAATACATCCACAAAAACCTCCAGTTTTTCAAGTAGAAGAGGTGAACTTGAGAAAAATACTCCTCATTTAAATTCACTAAAATTAGCTTCAGTACCCACCTACAGGCTGTCCACTGACCAGTAAAGGTCACTAGCTGAAGCATGATAAGCATGCAAAGTTCAGCAGTGACCCATTAAAGCGTGCCTCATGAAAAAGAATCACACCAGTGTGTGCGAACCTGCAATAACTCCATGACTTTTGTGGGGTTTGTCCAAGGGGGCAAAGCTGGGCACACAATGGTGACATATCACCCACTAAGCTGGTAAAGATTGTTATATCAGTGAAAAGCTGTTTTTTACACACACAGTTATGAAGTACACTTTCATTTATTTGTACCTGGCAAATATAACTCTAATATTCTCACGCTCTCAGAAGACAGCTGAGAGAGAGGCTGAACAGTTGGTGCACAGCTGCCTGCTGCAGCCAGAAATGACGCTGTGAGACGAGAGTGAACCAAAGCATTAAAGTTATGGGCTAGAAGGCTGAAAGTCATTCAATAAAATATATAGAAATGCATTGTGACTGCCTAAAAATGCACATACGTAATTTTTACGGTCATTGTTTGAATTTTCTCACACAAGGGAGAATGCCTTCATCATGAATGGCCTTAATGTATATATGTGTTTATATTTTATGACCTTAAATGATAAATGTTGTATCTCCTCATCCCCTCTCCCTGTTCGTGTAGGCACTGGATGATGTGAAGAAGGGATTCATAAAAACAGAGGACAAATCCTACCAGCTGCAGAAACTGGCAGAGCAGCGCAAGATGGCCACGGTCAGTACCACAGACCAGTCTTTGTTCAGGAAGGGGATTGGAATAAGTACACTTTGTGCCTGCTGACCAGCGCTATCACCAAAACACTACCAAATAAAAATGGACAGTTTCAGAAGCCTTTCACACTTCATAATTCTTCCCTCTGTGGTGTAAAGAGAGATAAAGGAATTGGGTGTATTTGAATATTTGTTGAACATTAACTGAAAGTGGCATGTGTGTAAATTTGGATGACATTCGCAGCTATGTTACTGCTTTCACGCAGCATTTCTGAGGCTTTGAATGTCAGCCTTAGAAGGAAAAAGGTTCATTTATTTGTTCATTCACGTGTCGACAAGCAATCTAATAGCTCCAAATGTTAGGAAGTATTCAGCATGGTTTTCTAAACTTAAAACGAAATAAAAAAGCAGAAAAATTACATATACTTTACTTGGATCTACAGCCGTGTTTGTATGACAGAGACACGTGGACGTGAGTGCAGTGTTATAGTTCATCCACATTGTGAGTCAGTCTTCACAGCTCAAACTGCAAGCTCTTCTGAGACCGTCAGCTCAAATGTGTTAACAATAAAAAAAACAGCATTGTCACATCAGTAATGAGATTTCTCATAAGTTAACTTCTTTCCTTAGTGTGTTCTGTGGAGGAAAATAAAATTGACTGTTACTTTTCCTCTATAATACCGTAGTACCTGAGTCTATTGCGGACATGCGAGGGCTACAACGAGGTGGTCTTCCCCCACTGCTCTTGTGACTCCAGAAGGAAGGGCCACGTCATCACAGCGATCAGCATCAATCACTTCAAGTTGCATGCTTGCACTGAGGACGGCACGCTGGAGGTGAGCATTTAAATAGATGAAGTTTTATATTTTTAAGCTAAACGTCAATGCAGTGCTCCCTCGCTATTACGCGGTTCACCTTTTGCGGCCTCGCTGTTTCGCAGATTTTTTTTGGTGCAATTTTGCATGCTTTGTTTTTTTTTGTTTGTTTGTTTTTTTACAGCGCATTGTGTTCTGCGTCCTGATTGGCTGTAGAGCATTGTCAGTCAATCTCGTGCCGTATCTCCTGCACAGTACAGAATGTCAAATTTACATACATCTTCGATCGCTAGCAGTGTGACTCTGAAGTGTTGTACTGTATGTTTGTAAGTTTTCTCCCCAACAAACGCAACACTGTGGACGAAATGTTGTCACCTTCGGGTGCCTTTGGTTTCATTCTATAATACTGCAAGGTTTGAACTTTGAGAGTGTTTAAACAAGAGATAGAAATGTGAACATGTTCATGCCTGTCTGAGAAAAGTGTATAAAGTGTGTAGTGGGTTTTTTTTACAGCCTTAAAGCATCTATAATTATTGTAAAAAATAAAGTTGGCTACTTCGCGGATTTCACTTATTGCGGGTTATTTTTAGAACGCAACTCCCGCGATAAACGAGGGACCACTGTATAGATTTCTGTGCATGGAGCTTAACTTCTATCATCTCTTGTTTCTCTCTCAGAACCAGGTAATAGCTTTTGAGTGGGGGGAGATGCAGCGCTGGGACACGGACGAGGAGGGGATGGCTTTCTGCTTTGAGTATGCCAGAGGAGAAAAGAAACCTCGCTGGGTCAAGATCTTCACTCCGTATGTAAGTGTACACTCAAGTGTGCCATTCTCTGGTTTTTTTTGTTGTGTTAGAAGCTTTTAGAGTGACACACCTTGATGGGAACAAACGCTTAATAAATAGGAAAACCCCCGATTTATTAATCAACCCACTTTCCTTCACGTGTAATAAAATCTTTAGTAATGAGAAGCAGGAAAAGTAAACAGAAACATGACTTTTACACAGTGACTCTCCTAATTGTGGTGTATTAGAAGCCTGGATTACAATAACGTCTACTTTTTCCTCCCAGTTCAACTACATGCACGAGTGCTTTGAGCGGATCTTTTGTGAGCTGAAGTGGAGGAAACAGGTAAGAACCACTCCTTTCCTCTTTCATTCTGGGAAGCATGCAACTCTATGCCAGCTTCGGTTTTCTAAACATAGCCTGTTCTTGTATTCTATTTAAATCCAGGAGCCTTTCTTTAGTCTTTGCTTTAAAATGATTAGTCTTATATTTCTGGTGTATTGATTTCTTTGCTCTCAGGTTGAGGAAGAAGCGTCTGATAAAGACAACAAAAACTGCAGCAACAACGGTAAGCAGCAAGCGTTTGTTTGTGCTCCTTTTTGCCCTCAATTCAAAGAGATAAACGGCATCACTGAAAGATTAGAGCCTCCAATTTGATCAGAGGCAAATCATAAAGAAATTTGCATTCAGATCTGGTACAGAGTTATGTTTTGATTGATGGCACACATCAGGCGGCATGAATTATGCAAAAAACAAAGGAATCCAATATGACAGAAGTTAAAATGTCAAGGGCAGGGATAAGATTTAATGCATGCTTTTATTTTTGTGCATTATGGTAAAAGTTTACGTGAAATGTAATGAAATATGGACAAGAGACCACAAAGGCAGGAGGATAACAGACAGCTGAGGCCTGAGAAAGCTGAGGACATTCAGATAAGAGGCCTTCAGGATGCTGCACGGGGACTGTGCAGTAATTAATTCACACCGTCTTCAAACTTCCTCCTATTCTGAATCGTCTTATCTATGTTGCAGAGTTTCTGCCTCCTCTGGAGACGCAGCAGAAGGGATGGCGCCACCTAGGGGGAGAGATTGCAACTTCCTAAAGCCGTCAATTGTCATCACTTGAACTAAAACTGGTCCACTTGCATCATCACAGCCACCCCAGAGAGAGCCCATCGACAAACACAGTACTGAGTGACAGACTCGAGGCGAACCCTGCCCCAAAAACAAACTGGAAGTGACCGACTTGGGAAATTGGATTATTAACACTTGCCGAACCCAGGGACACACACACATGTAGACACACACATGAAAACAGTAGGAAGAGCATCGAAAGAAGATAAACAAGAGCCAACTTTCACGTCACTTATTAGATCCTCCATAGTGTAACTGTTGTTTTCCTCCATGCATCTGCCCCATGATGTGAGGCAAGACATGAGAGAATTCTCACCACAGCGTGTGATTGGTCAGGGTCACCACAGCGCGAAGGGAGCGCCGCAGTGAAACGCCGCTTGTCGAGAGAGCTGACAGTCCAGAATTGAGGTTGCGACGTTCGGTTTTTCCAACAGGACCCATCCAGATCCCGCGGCGGTGACCTTGTCTGCTGAACTGAGCTGAGCTGAAAATAATAATGGAGGGAAACAGAAAAAAGTTCGGTGGTTCTTTCACGGTTGTGATAAAGGACGAAAGTAAAATCATCCTTTACGCCGATGCTGGACATTAACACAGAAGTTGTGTTTTATGTCTCTGGAGTCCTCTGTTTCATCAGAAATCATAAACGGCACAAATGTAACTACATGAAACAGATGTTGAGAGAATGTGTTTGTAATTATTTGTATGTTTAACAATCTTACTTCTGATAAAATATAGATTAATATAAGAGCTGTAATAACTGGTTTCTTGAGATAACACAGTGAAACACTAACTGAATTTCATTCGAGATGCTATAACTAATTTCCATTTTTCACCTTGACTACAGAGCAACATCTGTTGGCAGTCAGCCCGTTAATGTTAGTATGGCTACCCCCACCTCCAGTGTGTGTTTTGTTGTGGTGAATTTTGCAGGGCTTGGAAGCTGAGGAGAGGAGGCGTTCTCATTTTTAGCTCTGTGCAGGAGTAATTTCTGGAACAAAAGGTTGACGGGCCAAAGCGTTTGTTTGGTTTCTTTTTTAAATTTCACACCTTATATGTGGGCTGTCTTGTCGACAGATTGTCAAGGCGAACAGGGAGTTTTGATTGTAATGCCTGCAGTTACCTGAGCAGGCAGCAGGGAGCAGCAGAGCATACGTATGAGGAGTCTTCTCAGACTTTCCTAAAGACTGATGCCTCTGGCTCTGTAACTCACCCAAAAGTATCACTCCACTGCAATTTGTCCATTATCCAAGAGTCAGGAGGATAGATGGGGTGTGTACACGTGTGCTGCAGAAAGTAGATGGTGCATAAGGTTGTGTGAGCCATCAGCATACATAGCAGTGCAGTCATCTGTCCCCCTCCTGCTGCACCTAAATGAATACAGTATTAGTTGTGTATGTGTTAATGTAATATAATATAATTTCGTGATTATTTTACAGTTCAGGTTTACTTGTGTTTCTCTTTATCTCTCTCAAAGTCGGATTTTACTCTTCTCTCACCTGAAATATGTAGAAAGCAGATTTACATGTTGACAAGAAAGAAAAATCACAGATTCTTTCCATACATGTATTGATTTAAGTTTTGTTTAATCTTACCAAGGGCTACTAGTTTATCTTGGCATTGGGTGGGGGAAAAAAAAGCCAAAAAAACCCTGAAACTGACACTAATTTTTGGAGCGCGGGTCCAAGTTTTCCTTTACGCTGAAGTTGAAATTAGTTGAAGCAGTTCAAATTAGGTTTCGGCTATATAATTGTTCATTTTAGGCCTAGGTTTTAGCCGTATATTTGTTCTCAGTCGGTTACCTTGGGGCATGTTTGTGTGCTGTGCCAGAGTGTGTCCTCTGTGTTTATCATTGACATTGCTGATAAGCTTTTAGGCTCTGATTGGCCGCGTCTGATGAGCTGCCGGTGTCAGAGCCAGCAAATGAAGATGGGGGTTTTGTATCTGTACGACAGCAGAGACGCCAGACAGATGGAGACAAATGGGGAAGCGTCTCCTATTGTCTAGCAAACATTCCTTGCCGCTCACATGCTTTTTCAGCGTAGCGCACATACACGCAC